AAAAATATAGGTAATTTCATTTAACAAAATTCATGAAAAGCATTGCTAATCTTTAGGGACTTCCTAGAAGTATGGAGAGGTTAAATAAAGATTAAGTGGCACTCAGTATTTTCTCTTTGTTAAGGCTGAAAACTTCTACTCATGTCCTTAAGGTATTCATCAACAAAAATTTCATATCATCAGAGCACTCTGTTCCCTACACTGCTCTCCTGTAATTTTATTCTAATTCATTGTAGATTGACAGACTCTTAGCAAATGGGAAAAGTTTTAAAATTTGTATACTAAGTTTTATGTCTGAATCTGTGGCTCTAGATGTTGACCTTGACTCCTTGGCACCATGATTATCAATTAAATTATAGTACCCTGGAGTTCTCTAGGAGAGCAGGACTTTTGAAGCCTTGGGATATTTGTCCAATTTTGTGTAGTTAAGCTATAAACCAATGTCCATTTTCTCTGTGCTTTTTCACTTTTGATGTTTGCTCAGTTTGTAACATGTTTTCACTCTTCATCTTCACTGCAAATATCTGATATAATACAGCATTTGCTGGAGGCTCCTTTTCCAGTAAAATCCCATGAGGAGAATGAAAGACAAATATCATTTTTTTTGGAAAATTGAAGAAAGTCATTTAAGGAATGCATCTGATTACCGAGACCCACAAAAATGACTTCATTTATCATGATAACCTTTTCATCTATCTTTTCATGTTACAATGTGAAATATAAAGTCCCCATTTACTGACTTTTTTAAGTAGGGTGATGCTGGCTAAGAGGAGTGCAGATTTCAGTGTTTGGACAGTCCTGTGCAGCTCACTTACACTGAAGGCAGATAAGAATTAATTCTACTGGAACTTGATGAAGTTTAAGTCCATCAGTAGCCAGACTCCTTTATATTAGATTTTCAAATGAATGAAAAATTAATGAAGAGCTCCCACAATAGCTTCAGAATGGGCATATTTATAACCTTATCCTGCTTGCCAAAAATAATTATATCCCATTTTTTTCCTGCCAACCACTTTAATGCCTTTCACAGAAAATGGGAAAAGGGAGTTGGTGCAAATAGGGTGTTTCCTACAAGAAAGAAGAAAGGTTTTGGAACCTTTGAGCAACTTGTATGTCTTTTTGATTCTGGAACACTTAGGTTCCCTATATTTAGGTTTATTTGTTTACATATCATCCTCCAAGTCAATTACATGACATTTATTTCCAAATTCCATAATTATGAAAGTCTGGCATCACATTAGAAGTTGCTTCTTATGGCACACAATTGCTGAGGATCCTGGATTTGTTTTATAAACTGAGGCTGAGCTCAGTGACCCCAGCTGACCTGATTCTGGGTTACCCTGGGGAGGAGCACACCAGCCTGACCAGACTTGGTGGGGAGAGAAGGAGAAAGGGGGACTTGCTTCTATTTAGACCCATCTTGCCCCCACCACCCTAAACCTCTGAGTGATTTCTAAACTCACCCCGCCGTCTTCTCAGGAGCTGCCCGGGCTTGCCCACCCCTTGGAATATGGGACTTTGGCACCTGATATTCTTTCTCAGTCCTGGGAGAATCCACTAAAAAGGAGACAAAAAAGATCCACTTTCTAACATTATAATGTTTTAGTGTTATTGCTGCTCATTTAGTTCATAGATGGGTGCATTTGTTTCACTTTTTAGATTTGTATTATATGTCCTGAAAAAGTTATGTGGTTTTATTTTTTGGTCAGTGCCGTCAAATGCACAGAAACGCTTAATGTATGATCAAAACAGATTTTTATTTTGACTCTAGAGCCTTAGAGAGTTTTTCCAGGTGAATCCTGGGCATTCTTAAATTAAGAAAATATGTCTAAGTGAACATAGCTTTAAAATGAGAGTTGAGTTAATAAAATTAGAATTAATTAAAAAGTGAACTACCCTTTTAGAAAAAAAATTGTAGGTAATCATGAAAGTACAAAGTGGGAATGGGCAGATAGAGACAGAGCACAGAGAAGAGATAAATTTTATGCTTTGTATAAATTCCTTTTAAGAAAGTTATGATTTCTTACCATGATGACCACATCAGAAGAGGCACGTGTTCTTCTTGGGTCCCCACCATTGACCTGTATAGGTGCACCAGGACAGGTACAGTTTCGGGCCTGAGCTTCCTTCCCCACCACACCCCCACCTCAGTGTACTTGTATTTTAGTAGCACGGTGAGGGTGTGGTTGAAGGCAGAGTTGGTTCATTCTTGGCTCTAGCCACTAAATGTTAGGCTCTGCTCCTACATTCTACATGCTTCTCTGAACTTCCAGAACGCTGGTGATAGCGTGCCTCCAGGATTTGCCAGTCCAGCTTTGCCCTTCCTGATGCCCTTCCTGTTTCTTCATTCCTGGTCTTTTATGCTCACTTCTGAGGCTCTGAGCTCTGGTCTCCTTGGGCTGACTGACCAGAGGGCTCTCATTCTGATGCGATTCAGTATGTCCTCTTTGGCTCTGGGCACCTAGCCTAGAGGTTAGAGGCTTTGCTGCTGGCCTTACGCTGCAGGACTGCCTGGTGACCACATAAGGGGGTGAGGAGTGGAGGTCAGGTTACTGGAACAGTGATCATGGGCTCAGCAGCATCTCTTTGCTGCCTGCAGTTACTCCAAGAGCCCCCTGTGAGGACAACATGACTGTATTGATTTGGATATAACAACTAGCCCCTGGTAGACTAAAGAGTTCTGCTACTCAGAATATCTGGACTTAAATCAGGGGGTCCCACAGTCAGTCTGTCTCCATTGGCAGAGTTTGAAATGTGCTGCTCAGTACTGCCTACTTTTTAATGTTTTATTTATTTCTAAGAGAGGGAGACAGCGTGAACAGGGGAGGGTCAGAGAAAGAGGAAGACACAGAATCTTAAACAGGTTTCATCCTCTGAGCTAGCTGTCAGCACAAAGCCTGACATGGGGCTCGAACCCACAAACCATGAGATTATGACCTGAGCTGAAGTTGGACGCTTAACCGACTGAGCTACCCAGGCGCTCCATTACTGTCTACTTTTGTGCTTCCTGTGTGTGACAAAAGCCATGCTGCAGGGAGAGAGTAAAGCCAAGGACAGAGAGATGGGTTTCTATCACAACCCCAAATCTACTTACCTAATACATATGTCCACCTCTGTTTTCTGTTTTCTGCAATAATGTTGGCCCCCAGGAGGATCTTAATCCAGAAAAGATGTCATGATAAGCAATGGTTGTTGTACTGTGAATCATATAGATCCATCCTGCTGGTATGTTTTTGTGAAGCATCATTGACACGTGGTCTCTCAAACAGATTCTGGGTGCATCACTGCAGTGGAAAGAGGGCCATCATTATATTTTAATACTAAGTAGTATTGAGAAGCAGGAAACTTTGCTTCTTGTTTTCCATGGCAAATGTATTTGACCTGCATCTGGCATTTTTTTATAACCACGTATTCTAGAAAATAACATTAGAGTGGAAAAGAAGTGAGAAGGGAAAGAAGCATTATCCTCCCCACTCTGTTTCTTTTTAAACCAAGATATCCAGGGCTTCTGGGTGGCTTAATTGGTTAAGTGTCTGACTTCGGCTCAGGTCATGATCTCACAGTTTGTGGGCTCAAGTCCCATATTGGGCTCTGTGCTAACAGCTCAGAGCCTGGAGCCTGTTTCAGTGGGCCTCACTGGGGGTCCCCCTACGTCTCTCTCTCTGCCCTTCCTCAACTTGTGCTCTTTCTCTCAAAAATAAACATTAAAAAACCCCCATAAGATATCCAGTGGTGAATCTCTGTATTTTCCAATCTCAAAATATACCTCCCCATTATACTATTATACATTTTTGTGTTTTGTGACTTAATCCTATTAAAAGTCATATATGAAATTATGAACCAAAGCCTATGATTGTTGGTATTCATATATTGGTGAAGTAACTTGTTAAAGTCCTGAAAGTATTGGCAAAATTACAGTCAGGCCTCAGCTAGGTATCCTTTGAGTGATACAGATGAACTTTTTATTGAAGGTGGGAAAATGGGATATAAATTATAGCGCTCAAGGCAGTGTCTAGTAGTAGAAAATCAGAAAAATATGAGATGGGAGCTTAGACTGTGTCCCAGTGTTTAGGTGGTGGACAGTTTCTAAGCTCTCACGGGGCTTTACTCTGTCTAGTTTCAAAAAGATAGTAATGACATTTCCTTTTGTTCTTTTAGCTGATATTTTAAATGGACTTTGAACCTCTTGGAAGAAAGAAATTCTATGTAAACCTAAATGTTTTGTTATTATTAACAATGACTACAATAAATATTCAAAGTAAGTATGCAATAAATATTCATTGTTTATCACCATTCCTCCTGAAATACCAATAAAATGAAGATAAAGAAATTAAAAAAAAAAGATTCAAAACTCATAAAGAACAAATGAGCAGATAGGAAATACCAACAGAGTTTTGCAAGGATGAAAAGGATATGGCTGTGTGGGGACTGGCTTAGGTTTCTGCTTTTCTCCATTTGGCTTAGTGCTGGGGGTGCAGGGTGGAGCCAGGAAGAAACAAGCTGATTTGTACCTTATGGCCCTCAAAAGTCTCAGGAATTAGAAGGCAGGGATGTGGGTGTGGCAAAAACTAGAAGACTAGTTTAATCTGTGTGATAAGCAGTTAACCTCCCACCCCTCAAGTCTCAAGCTGAGACTATACAGCTATGAAATTGTCCCTGTCCAAGGGCAGACAGAGGTTGAGCCAGAGAGACATCAAAGGGAGCTGGAGGGATGCCAGGTAAGCTAAGGCAGGAATGTGGTGCCTTATGGAGAGTCAGGATGAGATAGTCTATGCTGCAGTAACAACAACAGAAAGACCTTGGAATTTCAGTGGCTCAACATAGCAAAGGTTTGCTTCTTGCTCACAAAATGTCTTGTTGGCTGGACAACTCCTCAGGGCAGCTTTCTTCTGTGTGGTTAGGATGGTATTGAGGCCATACATAGCTAACTGCCTAGGGAGAAGAAAGGGATGGAGGAAGTCCCCTGACTGCTACGTGCCTCAGATGAGAGGTGACATACTCCTGCTGCTCCAGATTTGGCCACATGACCCATCGCATCTGTGAGGTAGGCTGGAGCTCCAGGGGAGCACATCGGTGTTCTAGAAATACAAACTGTCTCTGTCACATGGGATTAAGTGAGGGTCTGGGGAGAAGGGTGAGGCTGCACCTTCATCTGCCATCTCAGCCTCCCCCTTCTCCGCTCTCTGAGTGCTGACTGCTGGTCTGAATCATTCTCAGGCTGAAGTGCGAGGCTTCCTTTCTGTAGAAATCCACTGTCCAAGGGAGAAAAAGACACAGGTCCAGAGAGGTAGGGGGACCCCCAGTGAGACCCGCTGGTAGATAAGCTCCTCGTGAGGATACAGAGCTTCTGTCAGCATTTTAGGGCCTTTTGTGTGGTTTCTCTTAAACAGGATTTTATTTATTTTATTGAGCACATTCTGTGTCCCAGGAAATGTTCCGGATGCTGAGGATATAACAATGCAAAAAAAGAAAATAGACAAAATTCCCATTCTCATGAAGCTTTATTTTAGTTCGGGGAGATGGAAAAACATAGATAGATCCTATGTCACATGCAGGTAAGTGTTAGAGTGAAAAAGGAAACCTGGGAAGCAGATAGGGAGTGTGTGGAATGGGGAGCTATTTAATGGAGTGATGAGAGGCGCTGTTGCTTGAGACCTAAGGAAATGAGGGAGTGAGCTGTGTGATCATGTTGTGGGGGGAGAACTTTCCGGGCAGAGGGACTAGTCAGTGCAGAGGCCCCCACATGGAGGCATGCTTGGCACACTCCAGGAATAGCAAGGAGAAGTGTGGCTGGAGGGAAGTTAGAGGCACAGCAAGGGCTACCTTGTGTGGAGACTGGTGGATGATTTAAAGGACTTTGTCTTTTTACCCTAAGTAAGGCTAGGACCACTGTAATGGTGAGCAGAGGAGGGACTTTTAAGAGGGTCCCTCTGGTACCTGTGCCTTGGGAAGGCAGGGCAGAATCCACAAGAGCAATGAAGAAGGAATGAGATTACTTCATGTTGCATTTAGATGTGGTGCCTTAATTCTCACTGCTGTGTTGTATTCCATTGTGTGTATGTCCCACATTTTATTTATGTATTTTATTGTGAATGGACTGTTGGATTATTTCAGTTTGGTGACTATTGCAAATAATGCTGCTATGAACACTGACTTCTGTATCTTTTTGTGCATCACCTAGAAGTGAAATTCTGGGTGCATGGGTTCCATTTTAGTAGATAATGCCAAATAATTTTCCAAAGTGTTTGTTTCATTTACATTATCTCCCATTATCACCAATATTTGGTGTTGCCAGTTATTTTCCTTTGAGCCATATGGTGGGTGAGTCATGATACCTCACTATAGTTTTATTCTGCATCTCCTTGATTATTAATTAGGGTGAATACCTTTTCATATGTTTATTAGACATTTGGATCCTCTCATTTGTGAAGTACCTATAAAAGCTCTTGCACATTTCCCAATGTGTTGTATGTACTTACTTGTTTTATTTTTTTTTATTTTTTTTATTTTTTTACAAATAGTTTATTGTCAAATTAGTTTCTACATAACACTCAGTGCTCATCCCCAAAGTGCCCTCCTTCATGCCCATCCCCCCCTCCCCCCCACATCCATCAGTCCTCAGTTTTTGTCAGCATTCAAGAGTCTCTCATGGTTTGCCTCTATCCCTTTCCCCCACCATTTCTGCCCTTCTTCTCCCCCTTGGTCCTCCGTCAAGTTCCTCCTAATCCTCCTATACGTGCAAACATATGGTATTTGTCCTTCTCTGCCTGACTTATTTCGCTCAGCATAACACCCTCAAGGTCCATCCATGTTGCTACACATGGCCAGATTTCATTGTTTCTCATTGCCATGTAGTATTCCATGGTATAGATAAACCACATCTTCTTGATCCATTCATCTGTTGATGGACACTTAGGCTCTTTCCATGTTTTAGCTATTGTGGAGAGTGCTGCTATGAACATTGGGGTACATGTGCTCCTATGCCTCAGCATTTCTGTATCCCTTGGGTAAATTCCTAGCAGTGCTATTGCTGGGTCATAAGGGAGTTCTATTGTTAGTTTCCTGAGGAACCTCCACACTGTTTTCCAGAGGGGCTGTACCAGTTTACATTCCCACCAACAGTGTAGGAGGGTGCCCGTTTCTCCACATCCTCGCCAGCATCTAGAGTTCTCTGATTTGCTCATTTTAGCCACTCTGACTGGCGTGAGGTGGTATCTCAGTGTGGTTTTGATTTGTATTTCCCTGATGAGGAGGGATGCTGAGCATCGTTTCATGTGTCTGTTGGCCATCTGGATGTCCTCTTTGGAGAAGTGTCTGTTCATGTCTTCTGCCCATTTCTTCACTGGGTTGTTTGTTTTTCGGGCGTGTAGTTTGGTGAGTTCCTTATAGATTCTGGATATTAACCCTTTATCTGATATGTCATTTGCAACTATCTTTTCCCATTCCGTTGGTTGCCTATTAATTTTCTGGGTTGTTTCCTTGGCTGTGCAGAAGCTTTTAATCTTGATGAGGTCCCAACAGTTTATTTTTGCTCTTGATTCCCTTGCTTTTGGGGATGTGTCAAGTAAGAAGTTGCTGCGGTGGAGGTCAAGGAGGTTGTTTCCTGCTTTCTCCTCTAGGGTGTTGATAGTTTCCTGTCTCACGTTCAGGTCCTTTATCCATTTTGAGTTGATTTTTGTGCATGGTGTGAGAAAATGATCTAGTTTCATTCTTCTGCATGTTGCTGTCCAGTTCTCCCAACACCATCTGTTAAAAAGGCTGTCTTTTTTCCATTGGATATTCTTTCCTGCTTTGTCAAAGATCAGTTGGCTGTATACTTTTGGGTCCACTTCTGAGTTCTCAATTCTGTTCCATTGGTCTATGTGTCTGTTTTTGTGCCAATACCATACTGTCTTGAGGATGACAGCTTTGTAGTAGAGGCTGAAGTCTGGGATGGTGATACCTCCCGTTTTGGTTTTATTTTTCAGTATTACTTTGGCTATTCGGGGTCTTTTGTGGTTCCATACAAATTTTTGGATAGTTTGTTCTAGTTTTGAGAAGTATGCTGGTGCAATTTTGATTGGAATTGCATTGAATGTGTAGAGTGCTTTAGGTAGTAATGACATCTTAACTATATTTATTCTTCCTATCCATGAGCATGGAATGTTTTTCCATTTCTTTGTGTCTTCTTCAATTTCCTTCATAAGTTTTCTATAGTTTTCATCATACAGATCTCTTGTATCCTTGGTTAGGTTTATTCCGAGGTATTTTATGGTTTTTTGTGCAATTGTGAATGGGATCAGTTTCTTGATTTCTCTTTCTGTTGCTTCATTATTGGTGTATAAAAATGCAACCGATTTCTGTACGTTGATTTTGTACCCTGCAACTTGGCTGAATTCTTGGATCAGTTCTAGTAGGCTTCTGGTGGAGTCTGTCGGGTTTTCTATGTAGAGTATCATGTCATCTGCGAAGAGTGAAAGTTTGACTTCCTCTTTGCCAATTCTGATGCCTTTGATTTCCTTTTGTTGTCTGATGGCTGATGCTAGGACTTCCAGCACTATGTTAAACAACAGTGGTGAGAGTGGACATCCCTGTCGTGTTCCTGATCTCAGGGGGAAAGCTCTCAGTTTTTCCCCGTTGAGGATGATGTTAGCTGAAGGCTTCTCATAGATGGCTTTGATGATGTTTAAGTAGGTTCCTTCTATCCCAACTTTCTCGAGAGTCTTTATTAAGAAGGGATGCTGTATTTTGTCAAATGCTTTTTCTGCATCTATTGACAGGATCATATGGTTTTTATCTTTTCTTTTATTGATATGATGGATCACATTGATTGATTTGCGAATGTTGAACCAGCCCTGTAACCCAGGAATGAATCCCACTTGATCTTGGTGGATGATTCTTTTGATATGCTGCTGGATTCGATTTGCAAGGATCTTGTTGAGAATTTTTGCATCCGTATTCATCAAGGATATTGGCCTATAGTTCTCTTTTTTTGCTGGATCTCTGTCTGGCTTGGGAATCAGAGTGATGCTGGCTTCATAAAATGAGTCCGGGAGTTTTCCTTCGACTTCTATTTTTTGGAATAGCTTGAGAAGAATTGGGATTAATTCTGTTTTAAATGTCTGGTAGAATTCCCCAGGGAAACCATCAGGTCCAGGGCTCTTATTTGTTGGGAGATTTTTGATCACTGATTCGATTTCTTCACTCGTTATGGGTCTGTTCAGGTTTTCTATTTCTTCCCGTGTGAATTTTGGTAGTGAGTGTGTGTTTAGGAATTTGTCCATTTCTTCTAAGTTGTCCAATTTGTTGGCATATAATTTTTCATAGTATTCCCTGATAATTGCTTGTATTTCTGAGGGGTTGGTTGTAATAAGTCCATTTTCATTCATAATTTTGTCTATTTGGGTGCTCTCTCTTTTCTTTTTGATAAGCCTGGCTAGAGGTTTGTCAATTTTGTTTACTTTTTCAAAAAACCAACTCTTGGTTTCATTGATCTGTTCAATTGTTTCTTTGGTCTCTATGTTGTTTATTTCTGCTCTAATTTTTACTATTTCTCTTCTTCTACTGGGTTTAGGGCGTTCTTGTTGCTCTGCCTCTAGCTCCTTTAGGTGAGCTGTTAGATTTTGGACTTGTGCTTTTTCTAATCTCTTGAAATAGGCCTGGAGAGCAATGTACTTTCCTCTTAGGACTGCCTTGGCCGCATCCCATAGATTTTGAATTGTTGTGTTTTCATTTTCATTTGTTTCCATATATTTTTTAATTTCCTCTCTAATTGCCTGATTGGCCCATTCATTCTTTAGAAGGGTGTTCTTTAACCTCCATGTTTTTGGCGGTTTTCCAGACTTCTTCCTGTAATTGATTTCAAGTTTCAAAGCATTGTGATCTGACAGTGTGCATGGTATGATCTCTATTCTTTTATATTTATTGAGGGCTGCTTTATGTCCCAGTATGTGATCTATCTTGGAGAATGTGCCATGCGCACTTGAGAAGAAAGTAAATTCCCTGGCCTCAGGATGTAAAGTTCTAAATATATCCGTCAGATCCATCTGGTCCAATGTGTCTTTC